TCAAGGGTCCAAACATGGGGTATATGTCCAGTGGGGGGTAATAACCAGCGAACCAGAGACCTGGCCTTAGGTGGGGGGGGAGGGAACAGGGGGCGGAGGAAACGGGGAGGGGGTGGGTCGCGGGGTGTGTGTGTGTAACAATTTCGGTAGACGGTGTGTGCTCGTGGGGGGTAGACAACCGAGAGTCTAGATAACAAGGTGGAAAAAAAAATGGTGTCGGCAACAGGCGGAGTTTATTACGCTCAGGGTGGTTGGGGTGGCACAGTCGTCTTTCTCCGGTGCCTCGATTCTGGCGGCGCCGCAGGCGCTGTCGTCTGCCCTTACTCAAACTATATCTTGGCTCGGACACAGCAGGGATGCTAGTGAACGGGTGCTTGTGTCGGCGCGAGAGCACGTTTCGGGCAAGTGAGTCGATGCAACGGCATCAATCCGGCTTGTGTTTGCCGTTCTGGCGATGTTTTTGGGGTAGCGGTCGTGTCTCTCCCCTTGATTGACTCCTCCGAAGCAAGCGACCATTGCACATCAAATGGCCGTGTTCGAAGCCAATCGAAACTTCAGCGGAGGCAAGACTGTCATTATGAACGCACGATAAGACGACGCATAGACAAGATACGCACTACGCTTTCCGTTGCACTATATATAGTTGCAGGTTAGCTTATGTCATGCGGCCGTCCCCCTCCATGCAGGTAGACCTCCCTCCCAGAACTTCCCCCGATTTTTTGTCGGGCAGCAGACATCCGCGTGATGACTGTAGTATCAAAATGTTGTGCGTTGTCGTACTCACAAAAACTTTAACTCTATTTCAAACAGTGGCTGTGGTTGTTGTACACAAGACAACAAAGGGAAAGTAAAGGCCACTCAAGCAAAAAAGGCGACGATATACACACGAAAGCTGCAGTCTCAGGTCCACCTCTATTACGCCGATTACTAGCTCCCGAAGCGTCGGCAGCAGACAGACTTGTTCAATCGCAAGACACACGCCTTGCTGCGTTGGGAACGCCTTGCAGAAGCATCGCTTTGAATGACTGGCAACTCGAAACAGGCGTGGCCCTTCATCTCATGACTCCAGCTCGTTCGCGTTGTCGATGTGCACCGCACAGCCGTACACGGTCACGATGCAATGCATGTTTTGATTCTCCCACGGTACCTGTCGAAGGCAAGCAATACGATAGCACCGAGCGAAGAATGTGACGAGCCAGAGGGGTTGCGAGAACTGGTCCGAGTCTCTGCAGCTGTAGACGTTGGACATAGTGAAGCTCACCATTCTCGCTCGTGTTCAACGAAAGGTGAAACTCCCACTTGAGGCAAGTTTTAGCCCTTAAATAGTAGGCAGCTCCAGAGGTTCCGGACTCGCTGGACGTTGACTCATGTTAAATGGGAATTATGGACAGGGCGTAAATATATTAGGCTAAGACATGCATCCATATGTTTCGCGATTTTCCTACAGTTCGAAAAAATATGGAATTCCTCAGTTAAACATCATCGCGAAAGAGTCAGCGCTCAGATGGTTGTATTTCTTACCAGAGTCATACTTTTGCCTTTTTCGATTCGACGGTCACGTTGATACGTTTCGTGATTTTCCTCATTCGAAAAGAGGAGGTCCGTAGTTGTTCGCGAAAACAAACAACGCTGAGAGGTTTTATATGCCATGTACTGTTCACTTTTTCTTATGGCATTCGACACCATCGTCATCGAGTGACCGGCGGGCACAATCTCCACCTTCCAAAACCGCCTGGTGCACTCACCTGGCAAAAATTGTCTTTCGTGGTATCCCACACCATGGATGCGCAAGTGTTCACCCCGGCCCCGTTTTTTTGCATGATTATACACGTGATGATGTACTTGTAGGGCTTGTTGAGAGGCTGTAGCTCCTTGAGACAGTTATCGACGA